GTCTTGCCCGTGTTGATCTTTAATAGTCACGTGATTTTATCCTGATTTGAAACTTAAATCCGGGGGACAGTCTATTTTTCGTGAAGTTTAGTTAAGTAACAAATTATGTGTGTAAAATGGGACAGAAATAAAGACAATACAAATTAAGTGGTGAAAGAAGGCACCTTGAACGCTCAAGAGCGCATTACGTGAATTACATAAACATGATGACGTTTTGAGCAGCATTGTTAATGCGGTAATAATGTCTAGTTTCTTAAATCAAGCAATTAAGAAACACGTCACCAAGATTCGTTGTTCGCTCGCCCAACTATAACTAATCTCTCATTGCGATCAGCTCATAGAAAATACAGCTAAGCGTGAGCGGTTAATGCAAGATACAGGTTGCTGTACTTTCTTGTATTTTATTTATAGAAACAGTTACCAAGAGCACGAGCCATTTTAAGTACACCAGACACCTGTATCGACCAACTCACACTATCATGTAATCTTGTTTTCACCTTGGTATGTATCCTTTCATTGATTAGTTTTCATATATAAATAAAATTATCATCACTTACGTTTTTCTGCATTTCCTACACACCAACAGTAGTAGTCAAAATAACGATCGACCCACTTCTTGATAATGTTAAGTGGTTGACTTTCCGGCCCACTCGCTATCAGTTGGTGGATGTTGCGTTCAATATTTATGGTAGCGCCTTGGATAAATACCGATAAAAGGAGGGGACAATAACGGCCAGTCTATGGCTCTATCAATAATAGATTAAGAACAGAAGACCATTTGCGCCGCTTCCGACAACGTTACCACATACATGACATTGGGGGACATAACATTGTTCTCCACGTTTTAACTAACACAATTAGCTGGTAATTACAGACAATGACCGGGTAGAATTGTATACCTTTTGTTTTAGCTGACCACGTATAAACGCGCAAGAATCCAAGTACAGGTAAATTCTGAGAAATGATTGAGCCCAGAATTCCCATATTTGAAGACGCAACAAATTTTCCAGTGGGTTGGCTGATCGCTATTAAATTGTCTACCGCAGTTTTTGTTCGGTATTTTAAGCCAACCGCAAAAATCTCTGGACGAGAATCTGTGACCGCAGCTGACGTCTCCGAGGGGTACACAAAGCCCAGCGCTGGGAAAAATTAATTTGCATTTTAATGTGAATATGTCAGCTTGACAGTTTTATATTCATAATATCGACTAGATCTAGAAATAATATAACTAAAAAAAAATTAAACTAACATGGGGTGAATTATTTGCAAGGATGATTTCAGAAGGTCGCGTTGTATGAAAGTGAATCTATTCTATTTTCAGCTAGAGTAGGAACACAATTTTTCTATCTGGTTAAATTATAACACCAGAAACTTTGATAATAGATACATTTTGCCTGATACGTTAAATTAATACTAGAAAGGTACTTTTGTAGATCAATTTTATGGCGTAGTCAATTTTCATTAACGGGTCGTTGCTTTTCTATGAAACATACTGCAGTAAAATACAAATTATACAGCTATTCCATAATTTCTGCTAATAAATCATAGAGTTTTACTACCTAATCATAATTTATCCACGTTTACAATAAATTTACAAGGTGCAAATTGGTAACAAATGTCACTATTTATAGCTGCTAGACTGATGAACATTAATGAAAAAGGCGTGGTACAAAATGCCAAATATCCACCTGTTATATTTAATGCAAAAATTATATACTTTTGTATTAACTGCGATTCCGAAACGTAATGGTTTTAACAGTTTCAATTCTAACAACTCAAAATAAATTCTTTCATGTTAAATGTATAATACTCCTATTTTTCTTTTTACATAAATACATAAATATTAGATATTACTATTCGGTGGCTATTCTGTAGGTCGTTGTGAATGCAGCGTAGTTGATAAGGTTGGTCTTGTATATGGAATATCTATTATCTATTATTGCTCAATTATTATTCCTTTTAAAGAGATTTCCACAATTTCGATCTTATCGTTCTAAGCCTAAATCGTGCGCGAGTGTATTGGCAACATTTTCTGAATTTCATATTTATCTGTGTCATATACATTCTCAAACAAAAATTCTTGTCTTCAATTAATAATTTTTCTACTATCATCTTTTAAGTTGGCACCACTGATTAGTGACATTTGATGGTGTGCAACCAAAACGTCTAAAGGTAGCCACACTTTCAGCTCAGGTACCCAACGAGCGCTTTGTTTGTGGAGCAGTTGATTCACGCTCCGAAGGAGTATAGTCGTTTTAGCTGCACGGGACTACGGAGTCAGGTCATTAATGTCATTAGCCAGTGATGCCAATTTAACGACGGTCTCCATGACGTGCTTAAATTCGTTTTATTTTTGACCTGACGGTATGACTAACATACCAAACGGAATAATTAGCCACTTGTTTTTATCGGTTAATCGATAACTAGTAAGCACATAATAATTCAGCTCTGATGATTTACAACCTCGTTATTTCTTTTATGCTACAAAATGAAATAAACATCATATAAAAATTAAACCAAGCAGATTTGAGTGTTTTTGATGTACGGTCTACGGTCTAGTCACTTAGTGGTTGTTGGGAAATCTTTGATTTGCGGTAATTTCCGGAAGTCTCGTTCCTGTCTGCTATCTCCACAGTTTTGGTTGTAAATAAATTTCAGTTTAGAACGGAATATATTTCATAGTGATTTCGATTTCTTGTTGAAATCTTTCCATGCCGTTTTGTTCCAAAATCACCCCCTAAATGAATGAATATTTCCTTATCCACACTAATTTCGGAGTAAGTAAAGTACACAAAAATTCTACTCAGCTAATCATTCTTAAAGTAAAATAAGCAATCAATCATCTCGCAATTGATAATTTCTGATTTGTTAATACCCCAATACTAAAAATTTCTCCGCTTGAAGAGTCAACCTACAAAATTTCCTTCAGAGATAATCCATCAATAATACTTTGAGAAACTATCGCAAATCTATTGTTTAGTCCAACACATTAACACATTTCACTGATGTTCTACTACAGATATTTCACGCTGATTTTAGATAAGAGGTCATGACTCCAACCCAAAAAAGTTTGCAGTTGGTTATTGTAATTATATGGAAGTAACAGTTAACAGTTTATCATTTGCGATGAAAAGTTACCAGTTTTCGTTTTAAAGAATACTAAATAGTTACAAGTCGTCACATGATTAGAGGCAACGGTATCACGCAATGGCTGTGAGTAGAAAACTTATGAAGGACTAAAATGTTGTACCTACCATTAAATTTTGGGCGAACCTACAAAAACACTGAAAACAATACATGATGCATGTTCAAACTGTTCCAGATCCAGTATGCACGGTGTGTTATTCTGCCACATACAACTTTTCGAAAAAAAGTCCTCTAGTAGGCCATGAAATTTATGTTTAAAACGTTCTTTGTTCAGTTTGACGTATAGAGTCAAATAACCGTCAAATAGCTCGAATGCCAACATCATTATTTTAAAAATAAATTTCATAGATTTCCAGAGGACTTATTTAATTTTTTAAAAAAAGTTAGTCAGGTCTTAACGTCCCAGTAATGATTTCAACGAATGTGCATGCTTTAAATGCATTCTTTCTTTTTCATTCTGCTAAATCCATGAATCACCCTTCATAATAAATGATAATAATAATAATTTCGAAACTTGCCGACCGTTCAGACGAAATCATTTACAAGAATCGATTCTACTGCAGTAAGATTACAGTAAAACTCATCCTGTGTCGGTCAATTGCCATGACGAACCCATCTAACTGTATACCTATCAGTAGTGGACTGAAACTAAACACCACACCACATCGTAGTAATTATTCTTATCAAATCACATTCGTTACATAAACGGTACATTATACGTGATGACATAATCGCATTTGCATAACTGAGAATGCAAGTTCCATGCGCTGACACAAGACTAAACACTAATCCTTAATTTATGCCGGTAAGAACTGTATAATTTTTAACATATCAATGATTTAACAAGAAATATTACAACTTCTATCCACTACGATTAAAAAAAACGTTTTATTAAATAATTAATAATGTTTTATTATTAGCGGATTTATCCTGTATTGAGATAAACTAATGATTTTGCAAGAATTGATCGTGGAGGTAATTCAAAGAACGAGAAAAGTACTCTACTCAATCAGCGTTACATTTCCATTATAGCAAGACTTCAGCGAAGAACAGTTTGTGGCCCTTTGTTTGACGACTATGACTATCGAGAACGATCGAAGGGTCAGAAACGATACCGTTAGATAGGAGATAGAAGGGTTTATTGTTAGTGCAAGGACTTTATTCATTATCTGTGTCCCAAAATGGTTTGTCAAAAACGTGTGTTTTGAATTCCGGATTTCGGACCGGGGAGTGTTCTCATTCGGGCGCCATCCTGAAAATAAAGGTGCAATTATTTTTTATGTATCTTTAAGCTAAGAATTATTTTTTTATGATTGATAGTTGAAGAGTCGTCTCAAATTTTTGTTATGACGAAAAACTGTTAATAAAAATTTTTGTGAGACTCATGGTTACTGAGTTAAATGAAAAAATTAATGACATCACCTTCAGTCCACAAAACTTAGTTTTAGATTCACAACTGACTACCCAACTAAACTTAAAAATTCTCTCCGTACTGAAAATGCACGGTTGGCAATTTTTTAACGCCGGATTGAGTGGATTAATATGTAAATGTAGGTATTTTTTCCATTTCTGTCACAGAAAATTTATCACGCATCGTAAACCTTGCAACATTTGTGCAACAAGAGAAAATAATCATTTTAGTACGCACGTTATAGGCGACTTCAGCGGAGCTTAAAAACGAAATACTCTATTAAAGCCAGAGGACTGGACTATAAATTCGTGTATAACAATTCTTGAGTGGGCGGAAATGTCGCCGCAAATCATTAAAAAGTATAATGCGCACGTTAGAGTATGATTTAGGCCGTAATAATAAAAGCCGGCATGAAATTTCACGAATTTTTTTATGCTTTCAGATCCTCCCTCGATGTCCCTCAACGCTCCAGGATGGAATTGACGCAACAATCGCCTCTGGAAGTGTCGGGGTGTGGCAGAAGAAGGAATAAACGCAACGACACCATGTAACTCCAAGACTGACTCTCTAATTTCCAATGGGTGCCAACATGGGCAAGAACACATCGCTCCTTGATGCGTTGCCATCAGGTCAGGGCACCCTCCACGTGGTGATGCTAGGTTTAGATTCGGCGGGGAAAACGACCGCCCTTTACCGCTTAAAATTCGACCAGTACCTGAACACAGTTCCGACGATAGGCTTCAACTGCGAGAAAGTGAAAGGAATGATCGGGAAAGCCAAAGGTATCAACTTCCTGGTGTGGGACGTGGGCGGCCAGGAGAAACTACGGCCTTTGTGGAAGTCGTACACGAGGTGCACGGACGGCATAGTGTTCGTTTTGGACAGCGTAGACGTCGAGCGCATGGAAGAGGCGAAAATGGAGCTCATAAGGACGGCCAAAGCGCCGGAAAACTCCGGAGTGCCCATATTGGTGTTGGCCAACAAGCAGGACCTTCCGGGGGCGCGGGAACCGCGCGAGCTGGAGAAGCTCCTGGGACTTACCGAACTGGGAAGCGGAGGGGGGCATTTGTGGCACGTTCAACCGGCCTGCGCAATCACAGGAGAAGGCCTACAAGAAGGACTGGAAGTTTTGTACGAGATGATTTTAAAACGAAGAAAACTCGCCAAAATGTCCAAGAAAAAAACGAGATAAAAATGTCACGCTGTGAGTGCTTTGTGTAGTCAATAGACAGTTTTTTTAATTTTGAGGATTTTATGTGAATCCAACTTTCGGTGCAGTGTTTTCTATAATAATAGCGATACAGTATCAAAATTAGATTAGTGAGACTTTCGACACGTCCATTCTGTTATTTTATGGAAAACCCCTCTGTGATATTCTTATTGAAAACACTGTTGTACAAGCCAGAAGCTTGCCTCTATATGGGAATAGTGAGTGTTTTATATCGATTTAAACGAAAATGCATAGTTTTTTTGATCTCCCTTGTTATGAAGACGACATAAATTCTAAACTGTAAATACAAGAAATGATATAGGTAATTTTTGTAAGCTGTTTTCTTTCGATGGCATAGATCATAGCAACAAAAGCACAAAAGAAACAATTTCTCCATTTTGAGGTGTTTGCATCAACATAATTATTACATGTATTCTCCTGTGCAAGAAACCTATTGCAGTTTGTTAAGGTTTTACCTTAATTATAGTTTGCACGCTTGAAAGTGAAACGATGAGTATTATATCATTGTATAATGAGAAAGCAGTGTGAAAAAATACCCAGATGGTTCCCATACGCTTTATTACGTCGAAATGTGCAATTCTAGATCATAAATAACTATTTTCTTGAATAGAATTGACACCCATCTTCTCCACTCATTCATTAGCAGACAATAAGAAGCCTATTAGAATAAATTAACACAGAGAGAGAAGCTTGAGTGCTGCGTCAGTGTATTATCTAGCAAATTGATAGATCTTCTTATCATTAAGCATCATTCATACATCGCGAGAGCTTGTGACAATTCGATTCAAGAGAGTAGTTTATTATTACCAGAACCAAAGGTGCTCATTTATTTATAAGTAGTTTTTAGTTATCGTCATCATCATGTATATTTCCATTATTACATTAAATTGAGAATGGGGTCGATTTTGGCGTTCATTATAATATCGATGACTGAAACGTTTTCCACTATTAGGTACATATATCATTAACGATTTGGAGACATCATCAAAAGCCATCCAATTACTGCTGTGAAATATTATACATTTCTCAATTTGAAGTAATAATAGTCGAACGACCAATATAAACCACCAACTGTTCGATATCGGCCTTTACCCTAAATTTTGCGATGAATGTATTATCGGTCCTTTATTCCCAAATTATTTTGTTGTTACTATCCTATTAATGTTAAATTATTCCTAGAATTATATAATTAGAATTATTATTCCTGTTGCTCGCCATGTTTATATAACGTAAATCTGTAAATATGTACCTAAATGTAATATAATTTCTAAACATTATTATTAAACCATATTTGTTTTATAAAAAACGGGGTTTCAATTCCACACACCCGCGTATTTTTATTTACGCAGAAGCGTTTTCGTTGGAGCTAGTCAGGCACAAAACACGGTCAGAATACAAGTTTTAATAATTGACTACCTGCTGCTTTACAAGAACCAACCATCTGCTCCATGCATTCTACCCAGGATATTATATCACGACGTTCAGTGGTATGGGATTCAAGAAAGCTTTATTAATGCATGGGAACCAGTGGCGGCTCATGAGAGACAATATAAATTCATTTATAAGGGAAAAAAAACTTTGAAAGCATATTCTGTGATTTCGTAAGTTTCGCAATTTATATAGCAAGGGCTCGATGAGAGTTTATTCTTTAGATTATTCGAACCTTTTTAAGTTTTTATGTATTATAAATATCAACAAGTGGCGATTATTGTTATTATTGACAGTGTCAAGATTATCGTATTGAAGGAAACATGATAATGTTGCGGCGTGAATATTCACCAATTGTGACAGATGAACGTGAATTTGCAGTAGTGATCTGCTATCGTTTATACACATTTGCGAATCTAAGCTCCTAGATGTTTTCTAATTCTACGAAATTATTTCAATTTGCATAATTACCGATTTGTACTATTACCGCAGATTTAAAATATCAGATTTTTGATTAGATATTATATTTTGATGTGTTGGGCATTTTATCGAAGCTTGACATACATAAAAAAATTACAAAATTATTTATTTACCTAATGAAATTGATGTTTATGTCACTCTTGACATATAAATGTAATCAGTGGATAACAATAATCCATAATAAAATATTTCTTAAAAAATATATTCTGGGGAACATTAAGTATCCATAACGAATTGTCCAGTGAACGTAGACTCTCATTTTTACTATCTTTTCGAAAGAGGGATTGCAGTGAAATTGTCAAATTGTTTGCATATGTCAGTTTATTGTGGAACTTATTGTTAACATATTGAGGTAAGCAGTGTAGAATAAAAAAATATCAGTTTCCGTTGGTAGATCTGATTACCATTTCGAAACATTCTGTGTATACTACGTATAGAGCACAAACATAAATATATTGCCATATACAGATTACAAAAAAAAAAACAACCTAAAATTCTCCTTTACCAAATAGAAGATACGTGTATCATTAAACCCCATGCGCGATTATTAATAGGTTGTTTACTTGTTCTTACCGATTTTATCATTTTGTATTTATATTTGTTTATTGACCTTCAGCGATTCATATCCTAAAATTTCACAAAAGCACCATCCGTAATTTAAACACCGCCATTTAGCTATTCCAATTTGAACAAAAGTGCAACCATTCGAAAAGATTTATGTTAACAATTTTTCATCCAGTCGACATATTAAACAGTTAAAAACAATACTCCACACTCACGCATCATAAAATCAATGATTCGTTTTTCGATATATGAAAAAGGTTACGAGCTGCCACTGATCTGAACGAACCCTCAGCCTTTGAAGTGATTTGATTGGAGAAATCCTGGTCGTCAAATATTTGTTGTATGCTCTGATGAAACCTAAAAATTTGCTGACGATTGAACGGCCAGCTTTTGTTATATTAAACGCTGGAAAAGAATCCGGGATGATCTTGATCGTATAACACAGCTGCCATGAAGCCGTGAGATTATACATTTTCATTTTTACAGCTTCGCCCATTAATAGTCCGTATATGGCAGCTTTAAATTAATACTCTGGATGGTCGGTGTGGAGGTGGATGGCGTCACGAAGCAGATTTACCAACGATGGCAGCGGTGGTGAATTAATTAACAATTAATCGGGTATAGATTGACTGTTTACGGCGACCCGAGATCGAAAGGATGAAGGGGTCAATTAGTTCGAATGGAAGTTTATTTCATTTAGTTACAATTTGATTGTGTTAGTTCCATGCGGGTATGCACGGTCAAGTCTATAACACGAAGTGGATCTACAATAAATGAAAGTGAAAATAAACGAGCAAGCTTAAAGCACAATTACACGTCTATGTTTTACAAGCCGAATTTGTTAAATAATAAACAGAGCGCGCTTATAACGTGTTATGATTTCTTTAATCATACATGTAAAATTAGGAGTGGGTTGACTCACAAAGATAAATAATTCAGACGCCGCATGTAGAAATTAAAGTTAAAACCATTGTGTTAACACGATACTTCCGGAGCATTTAATATCATGAACTTTTTTAATTTAATAAATACTTTCAGGGTGGAAATTTCACTAAATTATAAATGAAAAAACAATACTTATGCTGAATGTTAATCCCAAAAATATTTGCCCATCGTTATTAAGTAAATATATTTCTACAAAAACCATGAATTTATGAATTTTTAAACGCAACTTACAATAAATGATTAAAATATTCGTAAACATAATGCAGTCCGCAGCAATTGCTTCTTATTGTTATTAAAAATTTAACAAGAAGAAAGGACAAAACAAGACTAGAAATCAGGGTGTATTTTTAACTAAAGATTTGTGTATTGTTTTTATAATGACGTCATCAAATTTTTATTAAACGTATTAATTCTATTATTCAATTGTAATATTGTTGTATTTGTAGTATTTGTGAAATTTTAGTTGACATTTTTTGACATTGCAAGATAAAATTAATTTTGCGAGTTTTATGGTTTTATGACAACGTCGATACGTAAAAATGTGAACTGTTAAAGTATACATCAGGGAAACAAGCTGTGCGTATATTTCGAGTGAATGTTTTCCCAAATTTTCTGGAAAATGAGGCGAGCCGTTCGTGATTTGATCAATAAAATTAATTCTCTCATTTTTGGGTCTACAGATTCATAATATTTTGCACACTTTAGACAGGATTTATTCGATAAAAATTTTGAGATGACGTCATCAATGGTGAGGGAATTATAAATGGATCATTTTGATTAACGATTTACCATACTTCAGATAACCTTACAACGTTTGCAAAATTTCAGCGCAATCGGTTTTATAGTTTCAAAATTTAAATTTACAATGTCCTTTGTGTTGGTATTATGTAATTTTTATTATGTTTTTTATTTGGACGTCTGCGGCAAAAAGTCAAGACGGATTCATAAATATGTTATTTTACAAAATTTGAATAACATTTACTCTACAACATTTTGAACTGACAAATGGTTAGTGTTTTACCATCTATACGATGTTCCTATTTCGGATATCATCTGTCCATTAAAAATCGACGTAGACAGATGACAGACAGACTGTTAGGTTACGTTCTGGAAATAAAAGGTAAAACATTGCTGCATTTACGATATGATTTAGATATGTCGGATATCTACTAGTTTTATTCATAGAAAATGTACAAAAAGTGCTTAAGCTCTCGTCCAGGATTTTTCGTTACTAACTACATAATTAGGTACTTATTTAAGACAAAAAAGTTCTAACGTCACATATTGATCTTAAGCTTTTCAAACTACTTCTCAAAAATTCCTCGATTCATTTTTTTGAAAAATTTGTAAAGATTAAAAAAGAAAATCAATTGTTGCTTGATAAAGTTTGTTTTAAGTCTCCAGTGCCTTGTAAAGATTCTTATGACACTTTTTAATCCAACTGTTTCAGAATAAATTGGTGTCAGCAATATTTACTAGTTCGTTCTTTCACATCACTAAATCTTAAAAATCCATTTCTCGTGCAAATTACCACAATTCTCAACGTTTAGAATGAACTGTTAAGTTTCAGTTATTTTTTCTTTAAATGACTTGCTTGTATTTTTGTTTAAATTGTTTATTCAACGTGGTGGCGACAATTCAAATCAAAATATAAAAAAAGTTGGTGTGAAGTTATTTAGATCCTCGCCCCTTAGATACAATCGAACAACACCAGTTTTTTGAAAAATTATAAAATTTATTTCTGCAATGTTTTATTTATTTTATGACAACCCCTATAATTAAAAAAATATATAGACAATACAAGTGACAGTACAGGGTCTTAAACTCGACTACAAGGCATTTAATACAGAAGAAAGATATCGGTTGTATGAACCACGTGCAAAATATTGCACAAATATTTTTTTAGGTAATTATTGTAATAAAAATCAAGACGGATCCATAATCCACGAGTACAGGAGTGTATTATTTCATAAAATTTATATGAACTTAACACTGCAAAATAATGAGGAAATGTCATCAAATTCTTGTTGGGGATGATTAGCGCGTTACCATCTACACTACGCGCTATTCTTACCGTTCACACAGACAGACGACAGACGATAGACAGACGGAAACGGAAAACCTATTATTTTGTACTTAAGGGGTCATGAAACGTTGAAAAAACACGGAAGTAACCGTCCGATGGACCGTCTTACAATACTTCCTTAGCTTACACTCGGGAAGTTTCGGGGCAAATTTCGACGGTATCTACTATTTGACCAGAATGCAATACTATCGCATTAAAATTTTACTCATTTCAAAGTAGATAACAAAAATAATTAAAGTTACATTTGTAGGACAGAGTGGGCATCTGCATAGTCGTAATTCATTTGTAATAATAATTATAAGTCATGACACTGTATTATATGTTATATAGTCATGGTAGTTATTACTTGTAAGTACTAATCTCCAATCTGTTGTCCGGTTGTAATGAATTCTTCATTTATTGCTCCTTTAGGTCTTCCAACTCTCGAATAATTTTCTTTTAAGTTATTATTAGCAATCTTTTTTTTTAACTTATGGTAAATAGTGTTTCTAGAGTTAAATTATTTGCCACAAGCACTCCACAGCAACTTAATTATGCATTGCATTCTGTACCTATACAAATTGATATCCCTGCTAAAAAGTTTATGAAATCAGCATAAACATTTATTTAGAAAACCTTATTTCAAATAACTAGTGATCAAAAAGTTTTCAGATTAGGGTAGACGATAAAAATAGTTTTCACTTCTTTGATTAAACCAGTAAACCTTACAAATGTGAGTGTCAACAAATTGAAGACGTTAAAATCAAAATGGAAATCCAGGATTCAAGTGATTTAATGTCGAAACAGCGAATTTAAGACGAACT